TTCTTCCAGTAAGAAGTACAAGCTTTTGAAAACTGTCGAGTGTCCCTATGCTGGATTGAAAGATAACCCATAGCTTTTGAGTGTAATAGCTGAGCGAACCGCCGCTACTTTGCCCGAAATGTCAACAAAAGCGAAACTGAACATAGCATTTAGTGCTAGAATGCGAGTGGTTCGGAGCGCTCCGATGAGCTCAAGAAGGGTCGCCCTTCGCACGCGCTCTAGCTTCCTAACAAGGTCAGGCTTTTCCAGTGAGTTCCACCGGACAATGACCCCATATTCCATGATTGACTAGATTAGGGTTTGATATGGGAGATGATTTTTGAAGTTTTCCATGTACATTGAGAAAGATCTCTTCTTAATGTAACTGAACTCTTATATCTGTGTAACATAACCAGAGCTGCACTTGTTTAGCGCTGTAACCGCACAAGCGATTTTGACCAAGTTCGATAAAACAAGCCAGTCGTTTCTCAGCTGCACCTTAGGAGAGAATGTCTTTCTCTTACTCTGCTACATACCAGCAGCGGGTTACACGTTTATACTATCAGTGCTGGAGCATTTGTGTCTATTTGTACGATATGAGTAAGCGAGCGGAAGCGCTATATTCCAAATGGCTATACAACATCTACGTCGTTGTAATGCGCATAGAGCTCGTCATTCTATAGTCTACGGTATTTTTCGTCCGTAAATCTTCTGCAGAGTTTTGTTCTCGAGTACTTCTAGGGACTTATGGGAGGTAATTTTTGTGCGAAGACAGAGGAATTTTCACTCTCAATGACCTAGTTAAGCCAAGGCAGCAGTTGTTGGCAGGGCTGCCAACTATACTTAGTAATAAGGTGGCATATTAGGATAAAAAAGTGCCAAATAGAATTGCTAAAAAATTTGTAATTTTCTTATTCGAAAGAGGCCCATTTAATAATAAAATGTAATGTAAAGAAAAGTACAATTGTAAAATAAAATAAATCAGTTGTATAAAGTTTAGAAACTAAGTGATGAAAAAATAATACACGCCAGAGATTTCACAAAAATATATTACATATTACATATTTTTAGAAAATAAATACCAAATTGGAAAATTAAGTGTCATTTGAAGTCAAATAGGTTTTAAGGGATGATTTATAACAGTCATATTGTCTGCAATTTTAAAACTTTAAGAATTGTCTTGTTTTTGCTGTAAGTGAGTTAAAAATATTTTTAACTTCAACCGTGGTCGTTATCAAAAGTGATTCTCATCCGAAGCTTTTCAACGATTGACAGATGAAAGTATATAACAATGCTAATTAAAAAAAAAAAGCATTTGGATAAAATCATGTGAAAATAGTGTGAAATGCAGCCGCTACATAGCTAGGAATTGGTTTGATTCACATATTTATGCAAATTATATTCAACAATACAAACATATTCATTTCCTCACGATCTTGTCGATTGCAGTAGATATTTATTTATAACATTTACTCGAGCCTTTTCACTAAGCATTGTTTTTTCTCAAGTATTGAATTGCTTATTTAATATCCGTACATGTGTCACCGCTACAAAAAATTACGTCGTCACATTTCTCGAAATGCTTTCTAGCTCTAATCAACATCAATATTTAGCTCACAACACGATCCAAATTACATCAAACGCTCATTGCATATTTTCCCCTAATTACAGTGCTGTCTGGGTCGAGTGAACTAATTAATGCAAGACCAGTTCATAGAAAACAGATTGTTCACTATATCCAGATTGAGTTTTTTGTTCTTTAAAATCAATTTTGTTGCGCATTGCGTCTTTTAAAGTTAAATTTTTAAGAACTCTGAAGTGTCGTCTTTTCCCACAGCTAAAGCCAACACATGTTTCCTGTTGTTGTTGTATCGTTGTCGTCAAGCTCTATAGCGGTAGACCCAGGAAGCGCGAAGCCTCGATGGGGTATGTCCATAAGGCCAGACACATTAGCAGGGTGGGGTTCAGTGGAAATGCGAAGAGAGCGTCATGGAGCGTCATGGAGCGTCTCTCCGAATGACGGGAATTCATTTGGCACATCTGCATTTATTCTGTTCAGGTATAAGTTCAACCTGCTGCAGTAGCCCGATCGAAGTTGGGCTATGTAATGCGAGTCTCCCGAGGCATACGAAGCTCTGTCCCGTCCACTCCGTCGCGTTCAATTGCTTTGGAGACTTTCGCCTTCCCGATAGCTATCCTTTCCTCGTCGCTGCTGAAAAAAAGAGGCGCACTTGGTGTTGGCAGTTTCTACAGCCTTCTGGTCACTCTTCGTTTGGCTTTGTTTGTGGTCGCCAAAAGATATTTCAACTCTGTCATCATGCTTCGTCGGATTGGACAATGACCTCACGGTTGACCAAAGCTTGCTCACACCAGAGGCGAAGTTACAAGTCTTCAGACAGTCTTCCCACTTCACTAGTGCCGAATCTCCGAGTTACCTTACCCCTTATACGGGGATTTACGGGATCGGCCTGGCGAAGGCATTATCCTTTTTGTTATTAAGTTTTTCGTTATAGTTTTTAATTTGGAATGAATTGGTTTTAAATTTTGTTCACTCTACAAAGACTCAAAATTGTTCACTCTATAGAGTACTCAATAGAAAAATTTTCATGTTCACTCTTTCGAGGTGTTCGTAGCATCGGGTGTTCACTCCAGCCAGATACCACTGTAATAGCAAAACTCAAAATTAAGACTTTATTGATACCATACAAGCTAATATGCCAGCTGAAACCACAGAGACTAATTAGCGAAATGTAAACTAATTCAAGAGTATCAATAGAAAAAATATTAGTAAACAATAAATGCGAAAACAACACAGCAAAAAGGCAACCGCAACAATAATAAAAAAGTAATAAAAATTTAAATAAAGAAAAAATTTTAAATGACGCCAGAAAAATATGTATTTAACACACTATTGTTAAAACACTTGTGCTAACAGAAAAATTTTAATATAGAAAAAAATATAGTTACGACTTTAAACTTTATAACGAACAGCGTTTGCAAACAAACAATATGAGCAAAAAAACAAAAAAAAAACAAGCACAGTCGACAACTGACATTTTAACCACATTTTCGCTTTGTTGCAATTAAACATTTTCATTAGTCGAAGTTGGCTGCAAATAAATTGCATCTTAAGTGCAGAAACAACAACAGCAAAAAAATAACAGATCCACTGCGAGCGATCAAATCTACAAATGTGGTAACGAAAATCATTAGTTAACGCACCTGCCTCAAAAAGGCTTGGGTGAAAAAAATAAGAAATAAAAACTGAGCCGTATTAACGCGAAAAAATATTTTTCCCACAGTTGCCAAGCTGGGTATTGGGCGCGCAATGCACGTACAAAAATAATACAAAAGTGCGTTAAAAAAAAGTTCAAGAAATGATTTTAAATTTTCACACAGAATTTCAAGTTTAAAAACAATATGCAATTTTAATTTATAATTTACTAAATATAATTGTAGAATGACTTTTAATTATCCTCATGCATTTTTCATTACCCACATCGGTTGGAGCAAAAAAATTAACTTCAAAAAATTGTTTGTTATAATTTTTACACATAAGTAAAGATCAAATATTAAAGCAACAATGCTACCTACATAGCAGCACAGTTTTTGAACACGGTTTCCAAAATTTTTGTCAGAATTTTAGACACGGTTTTAAAGTATTGCTTTTTACCTTTTCTTCTTTAAAAATTTTTAATAACTAAATTTTTTTGGTTTTAGTAAAATAAAATATTTTTCCCACACGACCGTTTTTTGTTTGCATTCGTAAAACTCTCCGTTCTATACGTTGTTGCAAGCGCGACGCGTGCGAGCAGACTGTCGTTTGTGCTGAGCAAAAACGCACCGGTGAATACAACAGCTGCCGCCTTCAACTCCAACCAGTTGCAGTTCTGTATTAATGGATGATGCTCTGAATAACTATAGTTGCAGTGTCTTTTATTATTGTTGTTGTTCTTGTTGTTGTTGTATCAGCTCAGATGCGAAGGCAAGATATACAACAACAGAGGCAGCTGATACTAGCAGCGGAGTGCGATAAATGCAATGTTTAGATACACGCAATTGATAAAAATCGTAAGAAATGCGTAATGAAAGCAAAAAAAAAGTTGTTATAACGATTACAAGATTCAACTACGAAGACTAAATAAAACAACATACGGAAATTGCAAACAAAAACCTTCTGCGCACAAAGCAAGTAATGCAAAATATCCGTGACTTAAATTGCAACAACAACTACATTTAAAATTTGCACCTTCCTTTCTTCTTTTCATTTCACGAGTCGTAATATTCTAATACACCCACCTCACCTCGCATCAATGAAAAACAAAAGCAATAACAAATGCAATTCTCTTTCACTTCTCACCACTGTCCGCTATTAACTTTACACGACTACGGTGTCTGAGCCACTTCTACATGTAATTCCGACTTTGCGCTCACTTTGAGATACCTGCGATATCCGCCGACAGCTCATCAATGACTGAAGCAACGAACGCGCCCCCTCGCTAAGGTAAACAAAACTCTCGACCAGTGATGGAAAAGTAGGTACAATTGTACTTTTTTCGGTCTTATTTAAAGCTTGGTATCCAGCTGGCAAGAAAAGTATAGACTTTTCATAAAAAAAAAACGCTTAAGAAATGGCGAAGAAATTTTCTGGTGTCAAATTTCTGTAAGGCAGTATGCAGTTTTTAAGATATTTGCTACGCTTTTCTAAAGTTTTTGTGAAAAAAGAGCACAGGGCAACCCATGTTTGCATTATTCTTGAGGAAAGAGTGGGACAGCACGCTATGAAATATCCGATATCAAAATTTCTTGGACACTTCTATTCACACACACACGAAATAATTGGCAATTTTTTCTTGGACGTTTTCTTAAAAGCTAGATACAAAGCTTTAATTTGAAAGTATATTCGGTACAAACACTCGATTTTAGGTACGTTCAAATAACTCTACAGAAAGTCGTTCCTTTTTTCTTGCAGATAATTGATTACGCTGAACTGGTGCAGTTTATTATATACGTACCACATCAAAGCTGGAACCGACGATAAAACCTTGTTCTCAAATCCGCTTTTCAATGACAGATAGACAACGAATATTTCGTTTTAAAGCGTTCACCTTTTTTTAAAACATGGTTTTGCCTCTATTCGCTCGAATATACACGTATTACTTCCAACGTCCAACGTTTAATGTGAGTCCAAATGTTATCGAAAGGTTCTCCTACGTATGATTTGATTCAATGAGACCGCAGATGTTCGCAATAGGGCTATAGTTGAATGCGCTGTATGGCATCGGCATCAAAGTTCGGATCACTTTTACGTGCTGTTCAACTGAGTTTCGCTCCATGACTAAGTTTGTCAAGATCTGTAGTACGAATTGTCTGAAAAAAAATAAGAAATAAAACATTAGCATATTACAAATAATTGGTGTCAAATATCTGCATAATCCTTGTATCACCCTATACAAAAAATCTTATTTATTCTTAAGCTACTGTTATCTACTTGAAGCTACATTTTTTCCCCCCAAATTAGGTACCTACAATTTTATATTTTTCCATCCCTGTTCTCAACCGTATTTTGTGCACATTTGTGTTGCTTCTTGTATATATGTATTTATGTATACCTTGCAGTAAATCGAACTAGTTCAAAACTGTCGCTAAGCAGGCGTAAAGGTGACGATACTGCTTCTAGACATTTTTTTTTTTAATGACGATGTCCCGCCAATCGGCAATTGCCACGCTCTGCAGAAACTTATAACTAAAGCCATCCAGGGACGATAAATTTACAAGATGGATAGGCCAGACCCCTCGCTTAGAAATCCGTAGTTTCGCTGCTCGAATCTTGGAAGATTCACATACCACGATAGTCGTATAAACAAGAAATTATAAACATTGAAGACAGTGCAGTCTTGCGCTGCATCTATTTTGTGGTAGTTCGGTCACAGTCAAGAAAGGAGTAGTCTCTAAATTTTGCTGTATGGTAAACGCACGCAGCAGCTGAGACGGTTGTTTTTTGCTTGACTGTTGGTGGCGGTGGTGGTGGTGGTGAAGGTGACTGCTTAACATTTTCTTGCTCCTATTTTTGTTTTTTTGTTGGGCTGCAAAGATTTTTAACTTAAATGCGCTTACACTACAACCGGAATTTAATATATAAATAACTTGTGCTGCGAGTCTTGTAATTCGCATTTTATTTGTCTATTCTCTTTCTCTCTCAAAAAAACTAAAATGTTGCTGGAAGCATGGTTTTTGCAACATGTTGCCAGAGCAATCATGTTTTTCTCAATATTTGAGGCCAGCATAGGAATAGGAGATGAGATGGTCGCAAAATTACTTACCCTTAGCGAAGCGAGACATACCCACAGCAAAAAGACGGCTATCCTATAACCACGTCGACAACGAGAGAAATGTAGAAATCCAGAGGAGACCGGAGTTATGCGGCTCCGCAGTTCGCCAGACCCTATCTCAGTGCAACCAAATTTTTCCTAGGCTAAACTAGTTATACCTAGATCCGATAAATCCATCCAACGAGGAATGGTGTGATTATGGCAACTTAACGTAACTTACGGCTCTCACTTAAAAATTCTGTTAAATATATGTTGCTTATAATTGAACAGCTGAAACTTAACGTAACTTAAGGCTTTTCGACTGATGAGGGTTATTTTTTGAGCGCAGTCGAAGGAGTTCTGCGCAAAAACACTGTGGCGCCAATATAGTTTAGCCTAGTCAAAAGTAGGTTGTCCTAAGGTAGGGTTTGGCCGGCAACATATACATAAGTTAAAGGTTAGTCAATTGTGTACCCTCTTCTCTGCCTCGTCTCTGCCAAAGCGTATTTTCCTTCAAATTCAAAAGGAAATTATTAAAATATTTGAAAGGAATAAATTCCTTAAACTCTTACATATGTGGATCTATAGCTCCTTGAGATCAAAAGCTCCATCCAATGTTATTCATACTAAGAATAGGCAGATAGAAAAAAATATGATCGTCCATAGTGATCATGACGATTCTGGCCTTCTAAAACTAATGGTTTATTTGTATGCGTTTGACTATGTTTGTTTCATTAAAAGCCTGCGGTCCATCATATGCACTTAAGATCTATGTAAATTTGTCAAGAAAGGGTTCTGCTGCCTAACTTGTCCGAAGATAGAGCAGTATCTTCCGACTAACATTCTCCGAGTTGCATATGTTAGTTGTATAAGAATCAACATCAGATTGAAGTATTTACACCGGAGTAAGTGGCGTTTTCACTTGGTCTGGTCTTGCATATCTTAGAGAGCTACGTATTAGGATAGTATTTAACGGAAAGTACGCCTAAAAGCAAAGCATTGTACAAATAATCCAGCAGGTTCTGCAATTCACTTCCGAGTGAATTTGAGTCAAGCTCGCTTCCTGCCCGGATATTTAGTTTCCGTTGTTGGTGTTTCCGACAGGGTAAGAGTATGATGTATTGTGGAACGATTTTCCGTTATCCCTTGTCAAATTTGGTTTGGAGACAAACCGGTTTCGGCGTTGCGCCATCTTTAGGCCCAGTTTTTCAGTGCATGGCTGTGGTGTGTGTGTGTAAACTTAGCTTAACTGCTCGAGCTAGCTGGTTTAAACTAAGATTAACCAATCAATGGCCATGCAGCTTTTCAATATAAATGTAGTTTACGTAATCTAGGTTTAAAGTGGCACTAAAAAACTGGCCCTTAGTGTAATTTTTCATTGAGAATGACCCTTATCTAACTGATCAGAAAGTCTCTACTTTACTAACTTCTGCGCGCTGATCACGAATAGCTTGGAAAAATTCTGGGCCAAATTGCCAGAATTCTAAGCATCGCTGCAGATATCGTCATCAGCTGCTGCTAGCAATCCAGGTAAGCGCGAGAGGCAGTCAGGTATGCGGTAAAAAAAAAAAAATTTTTTCGAGTTGCGCCACAGAACGACGGACGCCTGCAGTGAGAAGGTCATCACCGGCTGCGTGCAGACGCCGTTCATCTATTGACCAAGGCATTCAGAAAAGATATCAAAAATACAAGTCAGACATAAAACAAAACAAGAAAAACAAAATGGGAGGCGTTGTCGGTACGTGTCGGGGCATAAGGTGCCTTACGTGCGCATTTAACTAACCGCTGTGTGTGCGCGCCCTTTCATGCGTAATTTTTTGTTTTCAATTTATTTCTTTTTCATTTTTTATTTTTTGTGGCAGCTGTGCAAGTAGATGCTAATATGCTGTGTAATGCAATACACTAAGTATAGCAGCCGAACGTGCGGACTGAAACGCTAAGGGTGCAATTAAAGGTGCGCAGACGTTTTGTTTTCATTTGCTTTTATCTCCTCGTTTTTTTTTTTGTTCAATACAATTTCTGTCTTAAAATTCTTGCAATGCACACAAACAATTTGGTACTCGTACAAGACGCATGCGCGACAGTTCTGCTCAGCAATTTAAATTTACAACCAAATAAAACACTCAATTCGCCTTTCGCTGCCGCAGGTGGCGGCTGTTGTATGCAACAACATTTTGTTTTCTGAAATTGCTTTCCAGTTTTTTTTTTGAATCAATGGCTGGTAAGTGCTTGTATGTTGTTGTTTATCAGATTGTCTGTGTGTGTGTGTGTATTTGCTTAGCGCAAAGTGAAAGGATGCAAGGCATACAATTTCCAGTTGATAAGAATGCATCAGCATTTTGGAGAGGCGCAGTCAATCTCTGTATTGGTTTGGTTTATTTGGTTTACATATTTTTATTTGTATTTTGTGTTTGTGTGTGTTTGCTCATTATTTTGCCCCTAAGGTGACGTGCAGGAACTCGCGCCAAGTAAAGTCAAGTGAACTACTTAAGTTCATAAATCAGAAGAGTTATCAGTGTTATTCTCCTACGGCCAGTTCTTTAGTTGCTCTATTTACGCTCTTTTGGTGGTCCACGCTGTTAAACGATTATTGTAAGCCAGGCTTTGTTTGGCCCAGCAAAGGGAAATATTTGCGTACGTGATGAAGAACAAGAAGAAGGATTACGTGATGTGGAGTTGTAGATGTAAAACGAAATTAGTTAAGAAAAAATAGAACAGACTATTCTTAGAACTAAACACTGGTGGCAACAAAAATTTGCCTACGATAGATAATGTATTGTATGTACATATGTAGATAATCTAATTTGGACAATTTCAATTTCAACTTTATGACCGTAATTTTAATAATATATTTTACTTTAAGAACGCAAGGTTATTCGAGTTCAGAATATTTCATATCTTTTGAAAAAAATTCATAATAAAAAATAGTCTAAAATTAAGTTTGAAGGATATGAATATTTCGACGGGTGAGTGGAAGATCGACCTATCTCAGAAAAAATTTCAAGAACGCCCTACTTCAGAATTTGGTTGAAGAACTCCTTATTTCAGAATTTTATTGTAAAACGCCCTATCTCAGAATTTGGTTCAAAAACGAATTCTAAAATAGGGCGTTCTTCAAACAAATTCTGAAAGAGTGCGCTCTGGAAAAGTTTACTGAGATAGGGCGTAGGGATAGGGAAAATGACTGCAGACTCAAATACAAATACAAACGAATACCGAGTATGAATATGAAACCGAACACGAATACAACAACGACAATGAAAGCGGATAGAAATAACAATACGAATACGACTACGAATAAGAAAACGAGAACGAACTAAATACAAGTACGGATATAAATACGAATATAAATATAAATATAAATATAAATATAAATATAAATATAAATATAAATATAAATATAAATATAAATATAAATATAAATATAAATATAAATATAAATATAAATATAAATATAAATATAAATATAAATATAAATATAAATATAAATATAAATATAAATATAAATATAAATATAAATATAAATATAAATATAAATATAAATATAAATATAAATATAAATATAAATATAAATATAAATATAAATATAAATATAAATATAAATATAAATATAAATATAAATATAAATATAAATATAAATATAAATATAAATATAAATATAAATATAAATATAAATATAAATATAAATATAAATATAAATATAAATATAAATATAAATATAAATATAAATATAAATATAAATATAAATATAAATATAAATATAAATATAAATATAAATATAAATATAAATATAAATATAAATATAAATATAAATATAAATATAAATATAAATATAAATATAAATATAAATATAAATATAAATATAAATATAAATATAAATATAAATATAAATATAAATATAAATATAAATATAAATATAAATATAAATATAAATATAAATATAAATATAAATATAAATATAAATATAAATATAAATATAAATATAAATATAAATATAAATATAATACGAATATGTATATGAATACGAGTGAGATTACGAACATGAATACCAACACGAAT